TTTTTCTTCCCCTTTTTTTCGGTGTTTTTTTTTGTTTTGTTTTGGTTGGTTGGGTTTTTTTTTTCGCTCGTGGGTCCTCTCTACCTGTGTCCACCGCCGGCAGGTTGTTGTGCTGGCGAGCAATTGGGCTGTTGTTGATATGCTAATGAGGCGATTAGGCTGCGGGTAAAGAGCTGGAAAAGGGAAAAGTTTCCACCATTAGAGGGAGATCTCCGAGCGCGGACGGGAGGGCTGCAGCGCCTCCGCCAGCCGCGCTCCCCACGCCGCCCCGGCACCGCCAGCCTAGGGAAAGGCAGGGAGAACCAAATCCTCTCTCTCACGCCAATCCATGAAAATGCTTTGGAAACTGACGGATAATATCAAGTATGAGGAATGTGAGGTAAGCGCTTCCCCCCGGCCGGGGCAGAGCCTCCGGCCTCGCAGCTGCGAGCGGGAGCCGGCAGCATCCCTCCGCCTCTCAATTTCGTTTAGGAAAAACTTCTTGCTCCTTCGCCAAGGCTTCCTTGCGGTCCTGCAGCCGGAGAGGGGCTGGGGTCCTTCCCCCAGGAACTTCGGGGCTTGTGGAAACCCGGCTTTGTCGGAAGTGTAGGAGGAAAGGCGGAACGGGATCCAGCAGCAGGCTGGTCTATAGGTAGATCCTCCGTAGATAAGGCTCTGTAGGATGCTACACTCATCCATATGGATGGATGGACGGGCGGATGGATGGCTGGATGAATGGACGGATGAATGAGGGAATGAAAAGGGCAAAGAGACAAAGGGAAGAGAATTGTCCTTACACGCCAGGTACCCGAGGCACCCCAATAAATCGGCTCAGGACCGACGCTTAAATTCAGCCTTTTCGCTGTAGCTGCGGGTCGATAGTACCGAGCTGCACAAATTCGCAGGGGTCAGCCGCCGAACTGAAACCACGGGGCTGGGAGCGGTGCTCCCCCAGCCTCCTAATTTCCAGGGCCACGGTTCCACGGCTTTGGGAGATGTTTTAACCGCTTGGAGAGAGGGGGAAAAAAAAAAAATAAAGCCCACCTAATTTGGTTTTGGAGCCGTTCAGTAGAGATTGTGTGCGCGCATCACTCTGCCTGTGTGTGTGTGCATCCGTATTTTTAGAGAGAGGCGGGCGTCTTTTAATCAGACAAAAAGGAGAAGAGGAAAAAAGAAGAGCCGTGCCCAGGACCCGTGCCTAGTCTCAAACCAACGAATACTGTTGTCACCCGTTTCGCAAAAGTTGCCTGTGCAGTGCGTTTAAAGCCGCGCAATAAAGGACTCCACCTCGCAAATGAACGCAGTTATGTGGTCGTGACCCACGCGGGGAAGTACCCCCGGCCCCGGCGGAGCCTTGCCCGGCATGCATGTCCGGGGAGAAGGGGGGGAAAGGAAGGGGGGTGGGGGGCGCCGTGCTCCCATCCGACCCTGCCGCCGCTTTGGGCGATGCTGTAGCTTAGGAAAAGGGACCGGGGACTCGCCAGACTCAGCGCCGACTAAACGGTTTGGTGGTTTAGTCCCGGATCGAGGAGTTTGGGATAAAGCTGCCTCCCGGTGCGGGAGCTGAGCTCTTAGATCCACTCGCTGGCGGATGCTTGATTTCTAGGAATGAGGTGCCAGGGGTGTTTTTATATTATTTTTAAAATTATCATTATTTATTTATTTAGCTTTTTTTATTATTATTTTTAAGCCGGAAAAAAAAATTTACGTATATTCCTCGCTGGATTTCCGTGAGGAAAGCGTGTCTCTCCCCCTCCCTCCCCCCCAGGATCGGGGGGCACACGTGCGA